GCAGCGCGGGGAGCAGGAGTTGAGTTAAAGAGAATTAAGAGTGAGGGCGAAAGCCCAAGGAAGGCAGAAGTATGGGGGCGTAAAATCGCCCAGGCCCCGCAGTGTTTCACAACGCAAAGCTTCGGTAGCGAAAGCTTGTGAGAAGCGTGGACTACGCAAAAGTCCCACGACACACGTCAAGCACTACGAGCACAACGATTGTTTAAAAGTCAATGGCAAGAGGCTGGAAAGCCAAAGAAGGACGGACAAGTCCTGAAGCAAAAGAGGCGAAAGGCCTAAGAGCGGTAAGTGCAAAAGAAAGCCGCTAAAGTTTCCAGTTGCCGAAGAGCAAGCCTGGACCTACATCACGAATCGCGACGTGAAGAAAAAGTGAGTGCACTTTAGATTCGGAGTGAGATCCATGCCAATCGTGTGTGGAGTGGAATTTCGCAATCTGTTATAGGACATCTGAAGATTGAGGATGAAGACCAAAGGAAGAAAAGGTTAAAGATGTTCAGAGAAGTGCTCAAAGAAGCGTGCGAGAAGGGAACTTGATCTTCACAGGTCAAGGATGAAGCTCACAGGAGCATGCGAAAACAGTGGTAGAAGTAGGAAGAGTTTCACAAGGATCGCATTACACGACAAAGCTGTGTATGCGATGAGGGCGTAACAGATAGTTCAATTTTCCCTCATGCCCATTTACATACAGGAATCCAGTGTTTCACCGCAGGTCAAACGTAGGCTCAAGACAGCCTGACAGCAGAGCTGAGGAGTGAGAAAAGAATCCAAGCTCGCGCCGTGTTTATAAGAAGTGTACTGGTATAAGGGTTTAAACTTTCAGCTTGGCAAGAGTGCAGCAAGTTTCAACTTGCTTGTTTGAAACGAATACGTGTTCAAGACAAGCATCAACTGGCTACACTTTGGAGCTCTCCGGCTGCATGTTGCTGAAGAAATGGTCGGTCCGCGTCCAGATTGTGCGATTCCAAGTCTGAGCTCGAAACTGGTTCGCCAGCACCAAAAATGCAACCGTTTGCTTCCGCCAGTGGAACCAGCTCGACGGACACGATATTTTGGCTACACACTCGCAGTCTGGGCACCAGGCCCTACAACCAATCAGTCTGTGGTACCCAAAACGTTTCTTTTTCAGCCCTTTCGATGTCGGATGAGCTTGGATTGCACCGCTCAGCCAGGCCATGCACAAAGCACACATGGACGAAGCATTCTGCAGGAAACCGCCGTGTGTTTTTCGGCAGGGCGTGGAGTTGAGAATACAAAAAAGGAGTGGGAAGCGGACTCAAAAATGGGTCAATTCGGACCCGTTTTTAGGGCCTCCAAGTATTAGCATATTTTCCGAGGGCTCAGAATCCGCAAAGGCCTTTGTACTGAGCAGGGTGTGTGAAATTGCCCAGCTGTATCTGTGGGTGTGATGTGGAGCGATCACCTCCGCGTCCCAAGCGCGCCTGAGGCGTGCTCCATTGCCATTGCAAGGCAGAGCGGACGTCGGCAAACTTTGGGAGCACGCCAGCTGGACATCATCGGATTGAAGGCCGCAGCGCCGAAATTCTTCAAAGGAGAGGCCATCGCCCAGGGGTACGGATCCTTTTGAGCGTGCGTCACTGCACATCAGTAAAATTCCGTCGCACGACTGGATGGCGGCAGTCCAGCGCTTTCGAGAGCAAAAAGGGCTGGCGGCCTGCATTATCCTGTTTTGGTTGCAGGCTAGTTTCCAAGAACCACGCGGCCTCGCCTCAGCTCTATTTCACCAGCTTTTAGGACGCTACAACCGCCGAGAGTGGGTTTTGTATGCTCTTCATGACGAACATATGGAGGATGCACCCACTGCGGCGCTTTCTGATGAAACCGCCGCGCGATACTGGACATGGCACGAGCGAAACATTTGCTCCCGTGGGCTTGGAGCCTCCTTTTCATGATGGAGTGCCCTGACCATTCGGCCATAAGGCTGCAGTGCTTACTTCCAGATTGGTGGAAAGCAAGATTTTTGCCTTGGAGAGGTGCAGCCTCCTTCTTGAAGCTCTCGGACGCTCCAATGCGATGATGCGGTGGGCGCTTCGCCAGAATGGTTGGCCGTGTTAACTCATTTTTTGTTTTGTGGAAGCGAAAACTGATGTGGATGGAGACTCCAGCGGGACCACATGGAAGTAGTCGTCAATGTGGACCCACCGAGTCCGAGGGATTCCGGGTCTGGTGTGTGTCCTGCTGGCTGAAGTCAGGCACTGTTTGCAGCATGCTGTGCGCGGATTTTGGGATAAAGCTTGTGGAGCGCTTGCAATGTGATGAGGTTATGCTCCATGGCTGCCTCTGCTTGGGTCCCGGGGTGAAGGGACACCAGTTCTGGGGAACCCTGATCCTTCAAAGCGTGCTCATAGCCATGGAAGGTGGCGGCGGACGGCCCGCGCTTTAGGTAGGCCCGATTGCACTTAAGTCATGCTGAACGACTTTGCCGGCTAAGTCTGTATGTCGCAGCCAATGGTTTCACTTTGTACAGGTGTTATCTATCTTCTATTCTATCTTGTTGTTTCTTACGGGGACCGAGCGCAGCAGCCGCTGTCACCGAGGCCCGCTCACGCCAAAAAAAAGGGTTCCCTCCCTCAGGTTTTTTGCGTTTCCATGGGCAGACATCGCTTCTTGGCAAAACGCAGTCGACGAGGCCGCACACGCCAAGAAAACACCGCATGTGGTCTCCCATCCTGAACAAGCTTGGGTCTTGCGCGCCAGACATGTATCTTGAAAGTTGCGTCCGGCGCAACGGAACTGGCTCAGACCGTTTTAATTTCCTGCCACCAATCAAGCTTCCGCCGTTCTTTCCCGAGCTTTACCCGGCTCTGGTAGCTTCGTTCCGTGCGCTCGCGGATGCGAAGTCTGGTCTCTGCCTTCCAGCAGTCCGGCCTTGATTGTCGTGACTACCAGCCAGCCGCTTCGGTTTGCCTGTGATGGTCTCGAAGCCCTCAAGACTCTTTCTTGGCCGTGGGCATCCGTGCTCCGGATCTGGTTCTCAGTTTGCAAGTTTTCCGGCAGTGCCTGACTTGGTTCTGGGTCAGAATCAGGTCTGCCACTGCCGGTGCACTCCCAACTTTTCTCATTTGGTGTTCCGGGTCCAAAACTTCCGGCTACACCAACTGCAGTCCTTTCCGGTTCCGTGGTTTGTTGCGCCCGGCACTTAACCTCAACCGGTCCGAAACCGGACCGGCTCACCGGTGCGGGCTGGACTTTTCGCGACAGTTCAAAAAGAAACGGGTCCGAGTGTCTGGTGCCTGCCCAACACTTGGACCCTCAAATCCGGTAGGAAACGGAAGCTAGGGCTCGCAAGTTCGAGAAGTTAGAGCGCTGGTTTGTTGATGATAATTAACGGATGACCCGTAGGGGCGAAACAAAGTGTCCTACATAACAGCTAGCTGGCCAGTTGCGATATCAAGCAAATTCCTGCATCCAACTGGTGTAGCAGTTACAGCACTGCTAGCTGTTCGCAACTTCCACAACATGGTGAGTGGACCTGGCCCGGTTTCACGCTTCCATGACTGGAGCAGGCTGTTCGTTTGCTTGGCAACAAGCCAGATACCGGCAAGGTTTAAAAAGCAGAGCTTAGCTCCCTCCACGACGGCAGCATTGATAGCCATCGGCGGACCTGACTGAACTATTCGTTTGACTCCGGACCATGTAGGATGTGAGGACGACGGCATGCGAAGTTTGTTCTTTGCATGCACTGGATCGTCCATTGGCGCACAACTCTGATCATCGGCAAGCGGTATGAGGTGACCTTGCAACAGGTTGTTTCAGAGTAGGGGCGTTGATCTTGGCCTCGAAAGCAATGGCAGCGCATTTGTTCTGCCGACATCTTTATGAGTTTGCATCCTTTGACATGTTGTTTTCACAGTGCATCAGCGCGAGTGCGGTGGAGCTGAGCCGGTCAGAAGAATTCGGGAAGGCGAAGCCAGGACGGAGATTATGGGAGGGAGTTTCAGCTAGACATGTCATGAAAATGAGACGGCACAACCGTGAAAGTTGAGAAGCTTCCTAGCGCTTGTGGTGTACACGACATCGAGCTGTAGTGGGTCCGTCAGAGGTTGAATATTGGATATTAATTACTCGAACATGCTTCAAACTGCATCGTACTGCCACCAGTCTGCCATCAGAAGTGGCCCCTGATTTTATTTCCGGTGCCCCAATCGTGCCCGAGGTGGTTCTTGAAGTTGTGGATCTCTGTGCATGTTTGTCAGGTCAGCGATGCCTCAGTCACATGGCTGTAGGAAGTTACGCGTGCATTGATCCGCGAGCTTCTTTTGAGTGCAAAGACCCACCAGACTCCAGAAGTGTTGTGCTGTTGGCGCATTTTTCTAAACCGTGCCGCAAGGACGAACAAGTTGATTCGTGATGATCTGCTGTTTCATGTCGGACAACGTTTTCTGTCGCATGAGGTTTTGGCACGAAGCAGCTGTACCATCCACGGGCCATACCTTGTCGGGTCCTGCTCAAGATCGTGTGGTAGTGCGATGTCTGTGTTGTTGACATATACCGTGTCTTATCGTACCGAGAGCCTCGACGGTTGAAAATCCAAGCAATCTAAACTAATGCCGCCGTAAGTCATATCGCCGCCATGGAGTCTGGTGACAAGCCCAAGAAAGCTCACAGGAAGAGGTCGCCTGGAAGTGCAGTCCGGCATGTCAGCACAGAGTTTACGGAGTTTGGGCAGGGCAGCTGGCACTAAAGCGAAGAAGAAGAAAGACAAGAAGCAGGTCGGGAAGGCTCCGTGTGTTTGGTCTCCACCTTCGTTCATCACTAGGCATCGAGCGTCATGACAAAGCAACGTGGTAGCTTACGCCTTCGGCATGGCGAAGTACCATAATTAGCAGGGTGTTTCAGCATCCAGTCGTCACCTGGCAAAAAATTTTTGCACGCAGCATGGATACCAGCTTTACATGTCGACAGGCGTAGGACTCTTGCTGCAATGCGATAAGAAGACACGATTCACTAGCACCAAAACTCGACCCGACATCGATCTCATCATGTGCAGCCCGGAGGCAGACAAGCACAATCCCAAGGCTCACACTTTTTCAGGCGGCACTCGAAGTGCGACTTGCCCACAGCTTGCGCATTGGGCATGTTTGGGCTCGGGTGTTCGTTAGGCCCGAGGAACCATTTTGAAAGCCGCTTGGCTAAGGTACAAAAGCGAGTGCAGTACACGTTGGAGAGGCAGGCCAAGAAGGATAAAGTGCACAAAGTGGACAAAAATCCGGAGGCTGGGTGATGGAGCCGAGTGCCTGCTTTCAGAAGCAGGCTTCTTTGCCCCAGACGAATCTGTGAGGTGCCTCCGCCGTTTGTTGTCGTCGTGCAAGGGCCACCAGGCCAGGTGGCAATCTGAGAAAGCGTCCAGGATCAACTGGGAGATTGCGGGATCCGTCTGTACTGAAACATTTTCTTCTGGTAGACCTTTTGGTTTGGCATGACCCCAGCCGGGCACAGGTGTTGGAAAGACCACGCTTGTGCATTCGCTGGTGAAACACTACGCGAAGCGTGAGTCCTACATCCGCCGACCAGAGCCCACCGGAAGACGTATTCGCCGTCTGCTCGCGCATGAGAGATATGCCTGATTAATTGATGCTTGACGCTTTGCAGCTTCAGGCAGCGCCTCATCCAAATGCGCGGACCTGTACGCCTCCTCAGTGATCTCCGTTTAGGACCCATAGCTGGCGCGACGCGTGACTTCAAAGGTCACACTGGTCAGCGGAAGACATCGACGATTAACGATCATCGAGTGTCCCCAGGCCTACCGCAGCATTTGCTCGAAATAACAATCTAGTTGTTCTTTCTTCATCATTGTGATTATCATCAGCTTGTTAGATGCTGCAGGAAATGTCGGCAATGTTGGATTTGGCGAAGATAGCCGATCTGGTGCTCGCCTCGCGTCTGCCAGGTCCTAGAGCAGTGCAGCTTTCCTAA